ATATATGTTGTCCTATACATCAGTGGTGACAATCTCAGCCTGAAGGTTAATAAACTAATTTAATAAGCAAAATATACATATGTAATTCTTCATTAGGACTAGGAATTAAAATGACTTCAAGTATTTAGAACGGCAGTTGAATATAAGAGCTGCTTTTGTACACCCTCAAAGGAATCAACTCCATTTATTTACATCCTTTTGAAAAATACCTATATCTATTTCAGAGTAAATATTGTATTTCTCATGGGTCCTGGCCTTAAAGAACAGAAAATATTTGATAATGTCTTGCATTTGCATTACTTTATTTTTACAAATGAAAAAAGGAATGGTTTGAATCTCTAATAGTTCAGGTGAAAAATTGTAACTGCATCATCCATAAAATACAATAACATCTGCAATCATAAATTCCCTTATAAAATTTATATCATAGCTTTTACATTGAAAACTGACTAGCAAGAAATTCCTAGAGATTTATTGGAAGTTTCCTTCTTTATACTAAGGCTTAATTCTTGATTAATTAAATAGTTTTATTAACCCCAATTTTAAGCATGCATTTTTGTAGAGTAAACTTTTAAAAATGAAATCCTGTGATGTCATAAGATTTTGCAAAACCTGTCATTAAATTAAATTCATAGCCAATAGAAAAAATTCTTTTGAAAGACTGCTTTTTAAAATACACGATTAAATAGTAAAAATAGATTCCCTGATAATCACAAATCAAACATATTAATGAAGAAACAATTATTTTGGAACTTTCATCATCAGAATTATTTATTTAACCAGTTTGTACTTAATTTTTTATTACATTATTTACTAAAAATGTTTATGTTTCTTGTGCTGACATATACTTCTGTTTATTTAACTTTTACATGATTATTCTCAAAAAATGCAGGGCTGGGAAATTTGCTTCATAGTTATCTATGGAATATAAATTATCATTACTTTCACTTTTTACATTTTTTTTTGTTGATATGCAAACAAAGACTCTTAAATTAAGTTAATTTTCTTAAACTCGATTAATAATATTAGGGTCTATATTTTTCAAAGGTACAGGATAGCTGCATGTATTTCATATATGTTTCCAAATAGTTTTCCCTATTAAGTAACAGTTTTTTTTTTTAAGAAATGGGAAAGTTGATGTTACGTTTAATGTGCATGTTATAACATTAGTGTGCAGGACCACAAATCCAACCTATGAATGTTGTGATGCGGATTTGAAGTTGTTGTTCTGGATAACTGGCTGTACTTGCCTTTGTGAATAATGTCCAACTTTCTTTCATGTTACATGTAGTTGATCATCAATTAACTAACCATTGATATATTAAACAGAGAACCATATGGTGTCCATCTTTCCTGTGTATGATGTGCCAAATGGCCCCTTGGTAGATTGACAAAAAATAAAAACCTTAATTTCACAACTAATGTTTTGCCGGTATGTGTACTTAATGTTTGATATATGTACATCCATGGAGTACTACTTTTACTGAAAATAGGAACACATTGTATTTGTAACAAATATAACTTAATTTCATGTAGGAGTACATTGTTTACATCCGATTCGATCCCTTTGATTTTTTGCCCCACTCCACTTTTTAAAGTTAATTAGAACTAATTAGTGCATTAGGTACCTTATAATGAGTGCTTTAGGTACAATTTTTTGTTGACTGCTCAATTCTCAATCTCCATTAAGTTTAGTAAAATCTACTTATAATATACCCAAAAGGAGGAAATAAATACCTCAATGCACTTAATACATGTGATAAAAAACATTCAAAAGTACAAATGGCCTTCCCTATTAATTATGAATAATTGTTATTTACCTGATGTGAACTTGCGTGACTTTTCCCAACAATACCGGTATTATCACCCGTCCAGATGAATACACTTAGTGACTTAAAGATCCACCCATTTTTTCATCTTCAAATGGTCACAAACCAGGACAAATTTTATAAGAAATCAATGATAATGCTGTTTTTCATCATTAAAAAGTATCCGCTGAACTATTGAAAACTGCTCATAAGATGTGATTTTTATTCACTCTTGTTTGAAAACTATCAAAATCATCCTTGATTTACAATAATTTGTCATAGAAAAAGGGATCCCTGACATAAGTAACATATTAGTATCATCTGACTTTCTCAAGAACCATGAGCTGACATTTTAACAAAACTTGCCACAATTCATCCTTGAGTGAAAGGAATTAAAGTTTACTGAAATGAAATGAATGCCCACACCCTCATTCCACGGGAAATAATTGAGAATTAGTTCAGTAGAACCATTTGAAAATCTTCTCAATAACCACTGGAACAGTACAGATGAGAGTTATTAGAAAGTTGCATTACAGGTTAGCATATGGACATATAAGAACAAATCTGTAAATTCTCCATTCCAAGTCCTGCAAATCCATGGCTAATCATTGATATTTACCGGAATACAGAAGCATGCATTCTCAGACCATCAGATCTTGGGTGACAGGAGTCAAAATGGGCTGTAAGTTTGACCGAGGGAATATTTTGAAAGTAAAAACTCTGTTAAAATGTTCTAAAGAACAACAATGGCTTGTTTAGTCATAATTATATGGAGGAATTCCCAGCTTTTACAGATTCAGGTTTTGTTTAACTCATGACCCCCTGTGGGTTGGATGGGGCCACAATGGGCAATTACTCCTCTAAATTTTTTACAGAGGAATATACATCACACAGTCAAATTTACACTTACATTTGAATATGCCTTGTATGTATAAAAAATTTTAACATATGAAATGGAAGTACACTCTTTCTATTAGCCTTAAATTAATGTAATTATTTGGTCATGCTTGTTTTTTTTTTCCCGACAATGAATTCTAACTTGTAAATTAGTTTATTCAATAATGAGGTAACTGACTGTTCTGTACATTCTATGCCATTGTCCATGCATTTGTCAATTAATATAATGTATTGCACTTTCTTGTTAGTTCAAGTAATCCCCCCCCCCCCCTCCAATAAAGAAAGAAAATGAAAAAGGATTAAAATGTTTTAATAATTAAAACCTTGCAAGGATTTGTGGGTGCCCTATAGTAAACACTCTGTCTGTCCGTTGATCTGTCCGTCTGTCTGTCATTCTTCCGTCTTCAAATTTCTTGGGTTTTTTTCCTAATAACTTTTTTTTATGGTTGACCAATTAAGTTCAAATTTGGTATGTTGGTTGAATACGCAGTAGACATTATTTGATGCTAGGTGTGTTTCTCTTTGTCTTCTGGTTTGGAGCTGGGTAGTGGGATAGATAATAGATTCGTAATGAATGAGAAAAGAGAAAAAAAACTGCTGAGAATGTTCCCCTTGTAAACTATGAAAGCTGCAATGAGTCCCTTGGGATCAATTAGCTTTCCTTTTGAAGAAAATCCAAAGCATTATTTTTATTTGTCTTTGAGATTAATTACCTCCTCTGAGGAGATTGTTTTGAAGCTAAGGGTTAAGGTCAACACTGAATTCTGTGTTTATTCTCTGAAATGTGGATTTAGATAATGTTCCTGATTTATTTTGGTTAAAATACTGTTACATAATTAGTTATGATTTTATTGAATTCTAAAAACAAGATATAGATAGATATATATTTTTTTATTTCTATGATTTCAATTTATGATTTTTTTTATTATTTTAAAAACAAGATATTTTTTTTTATTTCTGTTTTATTTATCTTTTTTTTTTTCGTGTCTTATGTAAATTCACGAATACTATTCATTTAAACAGGTAGTCGGATAATAACCTCATTCTATCATTGCTGAAAAAGTTCCTACTGTAAATTTTGAAGAAAAAAAAGGATGAGAGAAGTACAATTAATCCAGTGGGATTAATTAATAATTTTGCTTGCTGCAGAAAATTTAGAAGGCTTATCTAAATTATCTGTCAATCAAATATTAATGATCACCTTTGTCTCAACTGATCATGTTTGTTTTGAAGTTATGCTCAATTTAAGGTAGTCCGATCCTCAGGTTCTGAAAATCAGCTTTTCACTAATTGAAAATGCTCACAAAAATGTCTTTGATTTCACAGAATAATGTGTATTTACCCTTGGTATTTCTTCAAAGTTCATCAATAAAGTTATTCATATTATATAGGGAGAGTTATCAAATAAATCTCAAATATATTTTCAGTAAATGCAAATAAATACATCAGCTATGGATTTTCTAATTGAAAACTGATCAAGAAATATATTTTTGGATTCAAAATTATAGGTATCCATGCATTTGGAAAAATTATATGTTTTGCACACTTACACAATATTTTAGTTCTTCTATTTACTTCATTTCTTATAAAATACATAGTGTAGGAGTTTGCAAGACATCCCAGATCACTTCTAATTTCATATCATGCTATAAGCACTGGGATCCAATGCTAAATTAGAGGGAATTTGATTTCTCTAAAAATGAATTTATTTTTGTGCTTTTGTGGGGTACAATGTCAACTTTTTAAAATATCATTGCTAAGACTCCAGAGAACCTTAAATCATATTGAGATGCATAAAATGAAAATTGTTGCAAAAAAAATTGAAAATAACAACTTGAGCCATGTTTATATAACTAAAGTGAAAAAGTTTAACCAAATTGAATTTACTTTTTCATTCTAATTTTAACAATAATGGGATTTAAATTGACAAAAAATTGTATAGAATTAAAAGGATGGTTGCAGAAACGTTGAATTTTGAACATCATAGGAAGTTTACAATTTCTTAATAATTTAGAAATTTGACCAAAGAAATATACCAATCCAGGCATCCTTTTTTTTTTTTTTTTTTTGTATGATCTGTCCTTAAGGTCTGTGTTTTACTTCTTTGGTCTGTGTGTTTTTTGAGAGTAGGTGGGTAGGTTTTTGGAAGATGGTTAGATGCTAATCATAGAAAAAACTTGGAATGGCCTATCACACCTAGCATTCAAGTTATAAAGTTTTGGTGTTTTTTGAAGCATATTTTGATAATTACAATAGTTACCAGAATTTTAAAAATATTTTTTCAGCCACTGATGATGACAGTTCTCTACAAGTGAACATGACGAGAAAAAATGCGACAGCAGTCTATTTCACGGGGGAATTAGAGAACGAATTACAAGAGCGTGACCTTCAAGTGTTCTTTAATAACACCAGGACCAAGGAAGAAGTCATGAAAGAAATTGACTGTCTGCGGAAAAGAGAACTTTACGAGCATAAAGAGGAGGACTGTTCACCTTTGTGCAAGAGCAAAGGTTGCAGCAATCTGCGAGTGATTGACAGCTGCTGGAAAGTGTGCATGTGCCACTGCATGTTTGCTGTTCCAATGGAAGTTGATGGTTATCCATTATTAACATTTCCCAACGTATGCACTGTAGAGCCAAAGGCGGGGTCAGTGTTTTGTGATGAACACCACCAGCTCTTGGAAAAACACCAAATTCCAACCAAAAAAGAGGATTTTCTAAAATTCCTAGGATGTGCAGGTAAATATACCTTTATACATGTATTCATATATATATAAAAAGATGAATAAGAGTTCCATGTATCCTTTTATTATAGAGCTAATAAATAGTCTATTTAATTAACTACTAAAAGTTTAGCGAATTTTACCATTGAACATCTCAGCACTTTGTTGAACACTGAGTTTGCAATACATATTTTGTGCATATACAAAAATGCCCCGAAACATTCTGAATCGAGCATTCAATATCCAGCTATACCTATCGTAAACAAAAACTTCTCAACAGCAATATTTATGATGGGTAAGGTGGGGGCTAATTTCGCACAAAATTGAAATTATTAATTCATAATTTAGAACCTATTAGCTTCAATAAAACCCCAATAAGCAAACATAATGCTTGGTAAGGTCAGTGGAATGTTGCAATCTGAATACTTACAGGACAGATGCTAAAATTAAACAGTGTTATTTTAAATACGGATACTGAACAATTCTCATTAATATTGAGTTATTTGATTGAAATAATTGACACAGATCAATGGGAAATGTTTTTAAATTAGCTTTATAATAAAGGAGACTGACTGTTATTGAACTCATTGGCTGCCACAAATGCACTTGCAAGCTCGTATTGGTACAGCCAACTCATGCCAATTTTCACCAATATAAGTTCAATAACCCTATATTATTCCACCTACAAGGACAAAAGTAGTTACTGTACTGACATTTTCGTCTTTTCAATGAAAAAGAAGATTATAGCCAGCTAAAAAAAAAGAAAATCTTGTTCAATCTGTACAACAGCACTTAAAACTTGTTCTGTTTATTTACAGTTCACCCAAAGTCTGCCAATGACATCAGAAAGGTTGATGAAAAGCTGCTGGAATTTGCATCCCAATTATATGAAAGTGATTCAACTGGGAAGGCACTGGGATTATCAGCATTGAATTACCAAGGTATGAATTCAAACCAAAATATAGGTACTGTAAACTGATACAGGATCAAGACTGGAAAATACCTGTACAATCATGTACAAAGATAATAATAACAATAATAAAAAATAAAACCTGCACATTCTTTATGAAGCTTGGGTATATTTTTTTTTTAAATGGCTGTAAGTAAAAAAAAAAAAAAACCCACATTGTCTACTGGTTTTATCACCTGATGCTAGTAATTTACAAAAAAAATCAGATCCTTTCTATCAGAACACACTGTATAGAAAATTATTATAAGATATTTTTTTTCTTCAGGAACAGATGAAATAGTTGCAAGCATGAGTGTCAATTCCTGGGAAGACAATGCAAAGAAAGACGAAGCATGCAACAAAGACACTGGGGAGAAAGCACGTCTTCGTCAGAGATCTAGAGGGCATTTTCTGTGCGTTACTGGGGGAGGACACATTACTTACTTTGACCCAATTTTCAAGTAAGAAAACAGATTGCACTTTTACAAAATCTAGAGTCCTGGCATAGTAATTAATAGATAGCTTTTGGTAGATACAATTTTCTCAAGAATTATTTCCCATTGGTCACCAAATCTAAGGTCAACAAGCCCAGATTCCTTCATTATTCAACCCATATAAACTTGCACTGGGCAATAAAGTAAAGATAACACCTTTTTTTATTGTTTAGGAATTATATATTTACAAAGCTTCTATTAATTCTTAATTTTAGTATTTTAAATATTTTTATCCTTTAATTTCTGCCATTCATTTTTTTTTTAATTTTGGTTACTCAAAGAGGAGAACACTTGAGTTTGACCTCCAATACAGTGTCCAATGGGAAATAACTAAAAGGGGAAATCCTTCACAAGTATTTTATACCAAGCAGTGCACAAATAAATACAGATCTAAATCATTTTTTTTATTACATTACTTATATTCCATATTCATCTCCCCACTCTTAGAAAATGTAATTGTTTTGTTCTTATCTATTAGTGTCCAGGCATGATCTCTTCTCAACAAACAAATCTTGTTTTAATGATTAGAACCTTATGTCATTATTCTGTAACAAACTATGCTGAATATTAACTGAATTATTAACATATCATATGATTACATGTATATTATATCAACCATTAACTGCATTACATATTTAGTAATAAAAAAGGTTTCTTGCATATGCAATATGCCTGATATAAACAAAGTTTTAACAACTGATCTGATATATTTCCTGCAGGGTAGAAATAGATTTGCAGAATGGATATGAATTTATAAATGTGACAATGTATATTTTTACTCTTAAAAACAGTACTTGAGATAATAAACCTACTTTTTATCATTTGCATTTTCTTAATTTTAAGTTAGGGTGTTATTAATCTCTATACATTAGTTAATGAAAACAGAACCAAAAGATGATATAAAATAATAAAATTCTGTATAATTTTTTTTCAGGTCTGAGAGTCCCTCACAGATCTTCATGCAGGTAGTGCGCCTAATGTACTTAGAACTGAAAGACGTTCCAGAAGAGGATCTAGAGGAAGCAATGGAGAACTACATTCTGTGCTATGACAATATGTGTCAACTAGACTCCTTAAAAGCAGCAAAAGAGGACTTGCCCTTGCCTCCCCCATTTCACACGATGTGGAGAAACATCACAAAAATTATTGACAGACTACATTTGGCCAACCATAAAAATCCAAAGTGTAAAGAATCGTACAGTGCTGACCAAGCCCTCCCTCCTGGTTACAACACCATGGTTGCAGAACAAACATTTTCTTGGTTTTCCCGCTTCAAGAAAATAGCAAATTCCATGTCCCAGACCCATCATTTGTTCTTTATCCATAGGAACATTAAACGTCGAAATGCCTACACCGCAAAGTGCAGAAGGAAAGGCAAGGAACCTGTCCTCCCAGGAATCAATTCCAAACTCCTGACAAAACTTTCGTAGTGTCATTCTATGCAGAATATGCTTCAACTCAAACCATAGAGTTATGGTTACAAATGTGAAATGCAGGACATCTAACTGTACAATATTGTAGAATTGTGATTGTTATCCAAATTGGGGTGTTATGTGATGGGTGCGGCAACTGACTGCTCCTTATTATTAACAGTTAACTGACGTTATTAAGCTTTTGTATAAAGTTTCATGTCTTAACTAGAGAACTGTAGTTTTGAAATGTTTATCCCATGTTGGAGTGTTACATCGGGGGTGGCAACTGGCCGCTCCACATGTCCACCATTATTAAATGTTACCTAATGTTATTAAGCATTTTTATAAAGTTTCATGCCTTAACTAGAGAACTGTAGTTTTGAAATGTTTATCCCATGTTGGAGTGTTACTTCGGGGGCGGTAACCGGCCGCTCCACAGATACATAATATATTGACGAGGAAATGTAAATACTTATTAGATTGTTTGAAGTAAATAAAAAACATGTTCTAATGTGAGTTAAATTATAGTTGTTGTTTTTTTATTAGTATTTTCACTTTAATGAAGCTCTAAACATTAAGGGATACAAAACACAAACAAAATTTGATGCATGGATTGATTTATATCATTTTTGACAGTTTGACAAAATCTTACAAAATTCTCCCACTTTAACTCTGGCTATTAAACATTATTCAGGTTACCTATTTGAATATAAATCTATGAGAAATACTGCTAATTTCTAAAAAAGTTTGTTTGTGTTATTTATCCCTAAAAAACTATTACATTGAGAATAAGGGTGAAGATTCTGGGCTTACTTAATACATTTTCAACATTTGGTAACTGCCACATTTTCTCTGTGTAAAAATCCAAAGAAAATTAAGTTATATAATGTTTAATTTACTTTAATCTCGCTCAAATTGTGTTACCCTTTGAAGATAATTATATTTCTCTCTCTCTTTCTCATTCTCTTTCTCGTGGAACTAAAGCTTTTTTAAAAACACATTTAAAAAGAATAATCTGTACAGGAACTTTTCTAACTTCAAAGGGAGATCACTCTAATTGCATAAAATTACCATAGAATTGGAAAGCTGCACTTGGAGCTTCATTGATATTGAGGTTTAATAAATTAATACACAAGAATATTTAGCACTGGATAATAAGGATATGAATTACTGATTAGATAATTGACCTACTACAGTTCCCAGGTCTTCTGTATAGCTGTATAACCCCCCCTCCTCCTCCCAAACCACCACCATCTGACCAACTTGGAATGTTGAGGTCTTCAATACTTAAGACAAGTACTCCAACCTTTTTCTGTCCTATTCATGGCTGCTTTTATAGTCCCTTTGGGATTTTTCTCTCAATACCAATATAATTGATAAAAAGAATTATTCAATTCTGGGTTTCTTAAAAAAAAAATTGTCAGCTAATGTTTTATGGGATTATGTGTAGATTTTTTCCTTTCAAAAATTGTGTGTGCAAATGATAGGGGTGTGTGACTTCCATCAAATGCTAAGTTTTATTTTGAGATTTCTTGGGAAAAGAAAGATATTCAACATTTGTTTTCCTCTTGGATAAAATACTATATCCAAACAATGAGATATTCTACCTATTCCCACTTTTTTAAAAATCTCAATTCCACCTATTCCAACTTGCAAATAACAATAGATGTCTAGATACCAGTTAATTTGTTTTTATAGTAATTAGACTAATTACATCCCATCTTAGATTTACCTGTATTTTGTACATTTTAAAACAAAAAATAAATAGGTTTATGAATAAATGATTTATTTCAACTTAATATATTTTAGAAATTAAAAAAAGTGATTAAAAAATAGTTTGATATCTTGATTTTTTTTTTTTAACATAAAATACATAAATTCATGAAAAAATGCATTTAAATAGCTGAATTTTAGAAAATACAATAAATAGATTATTGGGAAAAACATGCTTTAATTCACTTAAAAATCTTCCTTTCAAATATTTGTAAAAGTCTGATTTACATGTATATAAAATTTAAAAAGCCAATTTCCATACTCTATTCCAACAGGTGTTCAATAATTACTGTTTATATTATATGTTTATACAATTAATTATTTGTTTTCACAAAAATTCCACCTACCGGTATTCCCACTTAATTCTTACCTTTTCCTACCTGATTTTCAATAAGTGGCAATAGGTAGAATAAACTAGGAAAAAGATTAAAAGTCAGACTTGCAACTTCACATATGAAACTTTTTATGAAACTCAAAAATACTTAGCATGTAAAAATGGATACAGGGTTTTTGACAAAATGGAGACAGGGGTTTTTGACATCTAATGAATGGAATCAATTGTTAAATCAAAATTTCTTATAATATGAAAATCAAGCTTATTCCTTTCAATGAAATATATGATAACATGTCATCTCTCTTTCTCTCTCTCTCTCGATCGAACTTCAGAGTCTGTAAAAATGTTAAGGTTTTTATAATGCGTACTATATCAGATTGTGTATTTAATAAAGAATTTAGGAAAAATACCCAAATAATCCAAAACTACTGTTCAAGATAATTGCATATGAAATTTGAATAAGACAGAAGTGATGGGGAATACATTGAAAAAGCAATTTGTCTTCAACAAATTAACAAAAGAAACCATAAACAGGTATAGCTGTCTACAAATTCTGTGTAAAGATATTGGGAGTAAACTCCTTCCTGTCAACCTTCTTCAAGGAAACTACAACCCTCTTGTTTTTACAGCAATCCAAAACCTGAATGTATACTATGAAGATGGGTTTTGACAGTAAACCAATTCTGACATCTTAACTCCCACTGCATTGATATAAAAAGGGGAACGAAAATTGTCTTTCTATCAATCATTTGAAGACTTCAGAGACAGTAAGTTCTTTATTTACAGATTAATAGATTTAGTACTGGTATATGAGTTCCACATTTTAAAAAAATAATAATTGGGTAAAGTAATGATTTCATGTAAGGCTTGCCTACGAAGAATTGTTGTGTTTTTTACAGAACACATCAGGAAATGTACTTGAGATAATTACTAGATTAATTTTAGTAGATTAATTAATGAAGTATTTTTTTAAGAAAGAGAGTATAAAAAATATTAGTAAAATACTATTTCCAATAAACCAGTGTATTATTTTTTTCTAAATAAGAATCATATTTTAAATTGAATGTATCAGAGTTTGATATCGGGGGAAGATATTGGTCTTTACCAAATATAGTCCTTTAAGTGGCAAAACAAATTTTTATACTTGGTGTTATTGTAAAAATTGATCCTGCAATTTTTGCTTGAATATTACAACTGTAGAAATCCAGATTTGACAGTAAAGACACTCTATTATCTTGCCATCCCCACTCTGACGTAGCATTCAAAAAATCACATGGAACATCAGAAGTTTCTGCTATAATGACAGTCTCTTAGCTTAAGTTGAAATAGTTTCAAAAACATACCTAATTTATTTTTCTGTTCAAGTAGTAAGCTTGTAAACAATAATATTTTGTATCAACAGGGTGATTTTCTAGATCATTAATATACACAGAAAAAGCATGGGTCCAACTATGTGTTTTATAATTTATTTCCTTGTTTACGTTCCAATGTAATTGTGTAAGATTTATCAGATCCTGTTGATTATCATGTATGGTCCCATATAATTAAACAAATTTAGACAAATCTGAAGAATATCAATGCAATCACTTTTCATTCTACATATGCCTATTACCATGATTGCAAATGCTTTAGCAGAGTAGCAGAAATATTTGAGAGTTTGTATATAAGTATATTTAGAGTATTTCATGAACAGCTGAATCTTCATTTGCATGTAGTTAATGTTAAACAGACATTACTACATTTATCTGTTCTTCACATTTTCATTTTGTGTTCTGGCTAGACAAGAAAAAATAAGATGAGCATATTTTTTTTTTTTGGGGGGGGGGGGGGTTCCATCTGAAACACTAAAATGTACATTTTATAAATTATGCTAGATGAAATAATATATGTATGTGAAACAAACATTTTATCTTATTAAAACAGACTACAAACTACCGGATGTGGAATAATCTATTCCCTACCTATAAACATGTATGCACACCATTCCCACTTTAGACAGATTAACCTGTATTTTCATAAGTGTTCGCTAAGTGGGAAGAAATCTCTTCACATGTTCTTCACATTATTTAATTAGATAATTAGGTGAATATTTAATAATATATTATCTCCAATTTGTCTATCAAATAGTAGTGAAAGGTCTTTATAATTTAAAAATGTATTTGTCCTCTATCTCAAGATGGTCATAATATAATCCCCATTTATACAGTACTTATATATGTTGATATAGTTAACTATTTATTTACACAACATACATGTAAATTTAATTTACCCCTAATTACCAGGATAAGTAATATTTAATTAATCAGATTAATACATTAAATTCATTTCAATTTCATTTAAACGAAGGAAAAAGTATAAGTTCAAGTTCAATTTATTCACCCAAACCAAAATATTGATAAATAGATAAGAGAGGAGAAAATATATCAAGGAGGGCAGACAGCATCATAAATTTTTATGATAAACATACATAGTTTTTTTCAGAATTTTTTCGTTTTTGGTTGACATTAGTTCAATGAATTTAATAACATTAGGTCTGTGAGAATAATAATTGTCAAGGTTTTTTTTTTTTTTTTTTTTTTTTTTTTTTTTTTTTACAAAATATGTCCTTATACATTGTTCTGTATTATTGTACTAATAATATCAAAATTGTCAACTTGTGAAATTTTATTGATGAGAATTTGTATAGAATTTTTATTTTTTGATAGTAATTTGTTTTGACACCACATTACAGAACTAGATGCAAGTAAAAATAATTCCAAACTTTACTGAAAATTATTGAGAGATATATTTAAGAACCCTCTCTACACTGCACACTAGAGAGTTCTGATTCTGTGGTATTTTTACGTAGGTAGAGTAATATGCCCTTAGATCTAAAATAAAATAAATTGAAATCTACAGTTTATCAATCAAT